AGATAATTCCAAATACAGTCAAACCTCTATTATTGCACCCCCTCGGGACCATAGGACAAATTTTTAAAAATGTTCATTTAGAGAGCGCGTATATTTATAGAGGAATTTTACTATGTTTCTATATATTTGGGACCATGCTAGAGCGTCTATTTAGAGAGAATTTACATAGTAGTGCATTTATAAATATAGAGGTTTGACTGTAGCATTAAGTAAATGGGCATTTTCGTGCAGAAATCAGAAATTCTTGAATTTCGGATATCAACAATGAAATAGATTTGAGTCTTTTATACCTGTATTATGCAAGGTAAAATACAAAAAAAACAAGAATTCCTAATTTTTTTTGACAAGATTTCAAATATCTTAGCGGTCAGTTAATTTTTTTTGTTTGTAAAATCGGTCTGCGAATAAAAAAATAAACTTTATATGGTTATATATCAATATGCTGAAATTGTTAACTTTTAAAAGATATTTTATTAGTTTTTTTAATGATTCTAAAATCTAAACATGTACTTATTAAATAAAAAGTAGTACCATAAAAGTGCAGAAGTGCATATATAAGATCTCTCAAAATAATAGACCTATGAATTAAGCCTCAGGTGCGAACTATGAAATCATTAATAATTGCTTATACAAAGCATATATACATTTTCTTTTCATAATGTAATCTTTCAACGCGTACCAGACTCGGGTTTACATAAAAATAGGTAGAATAAATAGACCTGGGTCTTGTATATACATACATATTTACAGTAAGCGAATAAATATAAGCAGTATTAGTAGAAACAGGTAGTTGCAGTTTTTTTACAAGTGATAACGGTTTACAAAATTGGACGTGTCTGTGTGGACATTGTCCGGTGTCCACCATGTATCACAGACGATGTCCGATGACAATCTATATTTTTTAGGACATGTCCGTGGATATTGTCCGGTGTCTGCTATGTATCACAGACGATGTCTGATGACAATCTATATTTTTTGGACATATGTCCGTGGACATGTTCGTGGACAATATCCGGTATCCGCCATATATCATGCGGACGATGTCCAATGACAATTTATATTTCTGGGCATATGGCGGACACGGACATAGACATATTTGGACATTGTCCAATGTCCAAGTAATATGTGTGGACAGTGTCTATATACAATACTGCTCTAGACTTCTAAATATGCTATAAGAATGAAACTATGACTCAACTAGATTAAAAGTAATAATTATACTAAATAATAAATATTATTATTTAATACTAGTACGAGATAGTCCTAATACTATATATATTATCAACCTAAACTAATATGTAGTGAAATATAGATTCTATATACATATCAGATATGTACATATATACGTATGTATAAAATATAGAACGATACTAATTTAGTGCTAAATACTAGTATATATATACAATTAATTTCTATACTAACTATGAATTATATATGGTATAAGCAAGAACTATTGTAAAGTTAAATTGGAATTTACTTATATTGAACTATATAACTACAAAATCTAACCCTCACTCTACCTCTAGCCTTAATAATTACAAATTAACTTAAAATTTTATTTCGTAGCTAAATTCGAACCAACATATTATATACATACATATGTATGTATATATATATATATATAGTATATATACTAATACAATATTCACATAACATTATTGCCTTTAATTAAATTTTACATTTACCATACATATAATTTAATGCTATGTAATATTGTTCTATATATACGTATTATAAGCAATACATATTATATAAAGACTATTATTATATATAATGCATAAGTATACTATAAAACAATAAAACTAAATCACTACATAATTTAATTTACTCTTAAAATTTACATTTTCAGATATTATGTCCAGATTTGCTATATGCTTTACATATGTATTTACACTTGACTATATTTTTATTCATGATAAATGATTTATCAGAATTAGATACATCATCGCTATTCTCATCAGTATCATCCTCATCAGTTTTTTCTTAAATATAAATATAATTACTATTAAGAGTATGAAGAGGATTTCTAAATGTATATTATTATTGCATTAGTTGTGTATATATATTTGTATTTTCATAATCAGATATATTTAATAAAACATTATCAGAGTTATTTTGGTTAGCCTTTTTCTCTAATACTGATTTTGGTAGATGTCTACATCATTTCTGAACAGAAAGATCAGAGACATAAGTATTTGTTTGATTTTCATTATTTGCAACTCTAGATATCAAATTGAGATCAGGTGAGTTGATTGCACTGTTTCCAGAGCTACTGTGATGTGACTTCTCTGTTGCTAATTTAATATGTTTATTTGGTCAACATCTATGTCATTTTTGAACCAAGGGATCTAAGATGCATAAATTTTCCTCATTGCTTGTGTTTTCTATACTACTTTTTTTACAGGTAATAAAGTTGCTTATCATATTGAGAAATTCATCTTCACAATTTAAATCTAGAGCCAAATTAAGAGCTTTCTTAACCTTTTCGAAATCTTGGGCATATCTAACTTCTCTTTACATTTGTTTTTTTATTTTACTTATAAATGCACATTGTGGTCTGAACTTATTAAATAAATATAAATCATTCATCATTTCTACATTATTGTTTTGCTGAAATTGTATTAATACTCCTATAGTTTCTTGTAATTTTAATTGATTATCTTGATCTTGAATATCTTCTAGATACTATCTTTTTGCAATCAGACCAATATTAAACTTGAGATTCTTTGAAGTTATTATAATCTAAAAAAAATATGTACAAACGAGTCCACGATTGATTATAGACAAACAAGTATATATATATTCACTATCATTTAAACAAATAACATAATACTTATATGACTTTGTAATCCCGAAGAGCTCCCAGACTTCTACAATATCAAATAGTTGTATATTAACTAAAAGAGAATAGAGAAATATTTGAGGTCTATTAAGTTGATCTTTAAGGAAGCCATCGCTATAATCTAACTAGTTAAAATCTTTCTCTATAAGACTAGCTAATTCTTTAGAAATCAAAATTGCATGATATAATAAAGATCTTTCAATTTGTTTTTTTTGAACAGATAAAATATGAGAAGGTAGGTATTTTTTAATTAGCTCAAATACTTAAATAT